GCATATATAAATTGAATATACTGTATATCATTAACAAATGTGGTTGCAACATGATTTATTAAAGATGTGTACAAATATAGTTTTCACATACGTTATACGCTTATCTCTTCATATTTCCAGAGGATGTATATATGTGATTATAATATATTCTCTTATAGGTGACATAAATGGCAAAATCCCTCTTGATATAGGGATCTATATGTCCTATTATATCTCTGTATGGGGTCCTTCATGTGTGACCTCTGACCTTCTCTGTGCTGATGTTAGAACATGTGGATGCAGTGGAGAGACTGTCAGCTCTTTTGGATTTTCTCTGTCAAATGAACAAAGTGAAGCATCAACATGTTCACATGACTGCAGCAGTTTTTACTCACTCTTACATTTTCTTTGTAAAATGTGTCTCAGTTTGTTTCATAAACTGCTGTCAAATGTTGACACAATCATTTAGTGCTACTAGTGTTGGTGTTGGTGGAGTATTTGTTTTATTCACATGTGTAGATGCCTTTGAAAATAATGAAAGTTAGATTGAGAATTTACATTTGATTTTGTGTGAATGATTATAAATATTGTGTGAGATGTACTACGTCATGGGAAGACTACAATTAACCCAACCAAAACCATTTAAAGTGCAACATCATCTGTTGTGAAACTCTTTTCTTTTGGTGACATTTGGAGTTAAATTTAATATTTTACACATTCTTAGGTTTTGGAATTTGACTTTAACACTTTTATTATTATCAAGTTCTTTTAAATGACATTTTAATTTCATTTGAACTGTCTTTTCATTTAAACAGTGAGTTTGTGTTAATGTTGACTGACACCTACTCACAGTGTGTTTTGACATTATCAACATATGAGGAATTTAAATGTTCACTCAACAACTGTTTACTGTCAAAAAAGTTACTGTGTGGTTAATTGTTACTGTTGTAAAGAAATGAAATGACATCCTGACTCTGTATATTTGGAAACATTAAAGTCTTCATTATCTTTATAAATAACTTCAATAAATACAGTATTTCTATCAGGGGAAAACTTCTTCCAACATGAGAACATGTTGCAGTTCAAACCTCTAGTGTTTTAGTTTCAGTGCAGCTGTGAGTCAGATCAGTTCCTCTGAAGCTGAGGGAGGTTTTTGTACGACGTTGTATCAACTGTGTGAACGGAAAAACTCTCACTCTGCTGACAGTAGTAAGCTCCTGCATCTTCAGTCTGAACTCCAACTGATGGTCAGAGTGAAGTCAGTGCCACCAGATTTACTTCCACTAAACGATCTGGAACTCCAGAGTAAACGGTTTGTATCATCATATATGAGGAGTTTAGGAGCTTCTCCAGGTTTCTGAAGGTACCACTGCATGTCATAACTAACACTTGAACCTGGCTTTACATCTGATAGAGACAAGTCTGTCCTGGAACAACAGACCTGAGATCCAGGAGACTGAGTCAGGAATGATTTCCTCCTGAGAACCTGGAAAACATGAAGAAGAGGAGAAGGGTTATTGAGACAAATCCAGCTTGGAGAAAGATGATCAACATCCAAACAGAAGAGGATGATTTCTTTAACATGGAGAACAGATGGAAGAAGGTCAATGCTGCTTGTTTCAGTGTTTCTCCATCACAAGCAGAACATCATTGTGGTGAACCTGGTTGCATCCTGAAGCAAAGTTTTCACAAAGAGAGTCTCACCCTGAACAAGGAGCCCCAGGGTGGCCAGCAGTAGAGTCAGAGACATCATCATTGTGCTGCCGGCGTGTCAGTGGCTCTGAAAGGCCTGGACAGCCACTGATCAACACTGGCCCTCTTAACGGCTGGGAGCAGAGAGGCAGGACACATATGCAAACACACAGAGTCAGTGAGCTGGAGCTGTCCTCAACACATCATGTGTTTTCCCATCAAGAACTGAGAAGAGGTGACTATTTACAATGAATATGAAGGCACTGGCCTGAAGGCGAAGGGTTAAAGATGTGATTGGCCCAGTCCAGTCTCATTAAAACAAAACTAATGGGTCAGTCTTGTTTTATCTTCTGATCTTATAAAACTTAAGGAAGGGAATTGAAGATTTTCTGGTGTAATAGTAGGAAGTCATCATCGTACAGGCTGATGTTATGATGATGTGAAATGATTGATACCTGGATGTTGATAAATTTCCCTAAATCATAAAAGCAGGGTATCATGAGATTGTGTTGTGTGTGTGTGTGTGTGTGTGTGTGTATGTGTGTGTGTCCTCCAGTGAACTGTATCAGTCTCTGCAGTAGCTTCCAGCTGCAGCAGTCAGTACAGTTTTCTGTTCAGTCCTGACTGAGGGTGGTTTTTGTACGAACGCTTTTTCACTGGTGAACACATCTTTATGTTCAAACGTGATAACTCTGACAGTAGTAAACTGCTGCATCTTTCAGTCTGGACTCCACTGATGGTCAGAGTGAAGTCAGAGTTTTGATCCACTGCCTGTAAAACGACCTTGGAATCCCTGATGCTCGAGTGGTCAGCACGTAAATAAGGGAGTTTAGGTTTTTCTCCATCTCTCTGTTGGTACCAGCTAACATGGTTGTGCTAAAACATAAACATTCCTGACTGGTCCTACAGCCTGAATGGTGACGGAGCCTCCCAGAGCAAGCTCACTGCTCCAGACTGAGTCACTGTGACCTGTCCTCTGGACTCTGAGGAACACAGAGACAGAAACATAAAGCAGCGTCATGGTTTTTGTCGGCTTTCATTTCAGAGGGACGGATTGGATAGAGGAGAGGAAGTTTGATTCTCTGGACTTACCTTGTGCAGCAGGCAGCAGAGGAGAGTCCAGATGAGGACGGAGAACCAAAGTCATGTTTCTGATGAGGAGGATTTCTGTGTCTTCTTGTTGTCCAATGAAGGACAGCTGTCAGTCATCAGTCTTCAACTCTCAGGACTATAAACTCTCCAAGAGCACTGGAGCATGGTGCTGCTGATGCAAAGTGGCTCTCTATGGAAATGCTCTGACTGACTCCAGCAGGGACCTTGGATCACTCTGATCATGCTGTTTATCAATGGATCAATCAGTTGATCAGAGTAATTGATCAGGAATGTTAATACTTATTTTAGTGTGGTTAGTTGTTTATGTGTTGAGTAACTTTTATTTCTGATTGTCTTTTTTCTTGTATTTTTAAATTAAATTGCAGGAAAAGGTTGCTTTGCCTTTCAAAATGAATAAATATGGAAAAATATACATATTTTAAAATTGTTTTTCCTGTGTTATGTCAACTTTTTAAAGCCAAGCAAGAGCCGAAAGAATTTACAATATTTTTTTAAATTCAGTTCTAAATATTGCAGCAGATGAATGATCTTGTTTTATTTTGTAAGACTCTCAGTATTTATGTTTTATTTCTCCTCCTTCAATCATGGAGGAGAGACCAGAGCAGCTTTGCTAAAATTTCTTTACACATTCCTGTGCGTGCTGAAGTTTAAAGTCCAAACTGTAGAAAAGATCAAACTTCTATCTATTATACATTCTATTTTAATTATGAACTTTTAAAATTTACAATTTTTTTTAAAATGAATGGAAGGATTCACTTTTTTTCAATTTAAACTTTACAATGTAAAGAATTCCTCTAATGAAAATGTTGCTTCATCATCGTTTAACAAAATGAGTTCCAACTACATTGGAAACAATATATAACACAATATAAAAGAAGCTATAGAGTCTTTTGAACATTTTCATAGAGAATCTTACATGTAAATTTTAATTGAAAAAAGTGAGATCTTCAAATTACATTTAAAGAAATTGTGTAAAAATTAAAAAGTCATTAAATTAAATTAGAATTATAATAGAAGTAGAAAGTTTGATCTTTCTACAGTTGGACTTAAACGTTCAGCACGACAGGAATGTTAAGAAAATTTTAGCAAAAGCTGCCTCTGGTTACTCCTCCATGATGAAGAGTTGAGAAATAAAAAACATAAATACTGAGAGTCTTAAAAGTAAAACAAGATCATTCATGTCTGCGTGCAGAATATTTAGAACTGACATTTAAAAAAATATTGTAATCTTCGTCTGCTGGCTTAAAAAGTGACAATAACACAGGAAAACAATTTGTAAAATATGTAATTTTTCCAATATTTATTCATTTGAACAAAGGCAAATGCAACCTTTTCCTGCAATTCAATTAAAATACAAGAAAAGACAATCAGAATAAAAGTTACTCAAACACATAAAACCTAAACTCAACTAAAATAAGTATGAACACATCCTGATCAATACTCTGATCAGCTGATTGATCCATTGATAAACAGCATG